CCATGTTCTGCCAAAGGAGGAAGACGCTGGAATCATACCCATAAACCACAACCCTCATGGTAAAATATTAAATCATTGAAATTGGTTAATTTTAAATGTAAAACTGGGTAGGAATACACCTAAGTTATTGGCCAAGCAGTTTTGTAATTAATATACTTTCTGTATGATTATTCAGATCTCTGTTTCTGGAAATGAAAGAGGAGTCTCTGTTTACAAAATGGCAACCAACATGGGACAACTACATCTACATAAGACCTGAGAGAACTTGGGAAAGAATTCTAGACAAAAAAGAACAGAATTAAGTTTGACTTCTTGGTAGCAGCAGTTTCTTGAGTGAGCTCTGTTTGCTAGAAGCAAGCAGAGGTGTGATTCCTTTAAGAGAAGGCTTTCTGTCTCAGCATTAACAACCTAAACTGTCTGACTTCTTTGAGAGACAGCTTCCTGGTTGGTGCTGGCAGCATGAACAGCTCTGGCTCTTTTTAGGAGGCTGAGCACTTAAATGGGATTTGTGAGCAAAGTGATACAAGTTGTTTAATAGAAACATAGACCCTCCGAGTCCCTGGAACTGGGGCAGTGAGCAGGACTTGCAGAACTGGTGGTGAATGTACCTCTGCCATATTGGACTGTGTGGAGCCAAAAGGCAAAGCAGCCTTAGTCCTAGCCATGCCACTTAGCATTTTCAGAAATGCTCCTGATCAGGAAAGAATTACAGATACACAATAAAGACAGATTCAGAACAAAAAAAGACTTCTAAATAGGTCACAGTGATGAATGAATGTACATAGGCTTAGGAAAGAGAGAGAGAGAGAGAGAGAGAAAGAGAGAGAGAGAGAGAAGAGTACTGACAGTCATAGATTAAAGGAGTAAAGATAATGTTTTGAAAGTCATAGATTTAAAAAAGTGCCAGGTAAAGATGGAAAATGCACAAAATCAGGATTATGTATATTATTGTGTTTTCTTTAAATTTTTTGACTGTTAATGATCTAAATGCAGAGAGACATTTGATTCTGGGGACTGCTAAGCTAAATCAACAAAAATATTTTAAAGGGGGGCTGGAGAGATGGCTCAGTGGTTAAGAGCACTGGCTGCTCTTCCAGAGGTTCTGAGTTCAATTCCCAGCAACCACATGGTGGCTCACAACCATCTGTCATGAGGTCTGACACCCTCTTCTGGCGTGCAGGCATACTTGGAGGCAGGATGTTGTATACATAATAAATAAATAAATAAATAAATAAATAAATCTTTTAAAAAATATATTTTAAAGGTATCTTGACTTCAAAATTTGTGTCTAAGGATATATTGCTTTGGAAAAGAGGTTCTGCTTTTGTTTCCACAGAAGATGAGAACTTGTGGTTTCCTTCCAGGCTAATGTGGTTTGATGGAACAAGAGCTCCTGAAAAGTCTTTGGAAACCCTAAAAATACTTCTCCCAACAAGTGTCAGGAAACAGTTTAGAGAAAACTATGCCTAAATTCCTGAAGTGATTGTTTAGAAATGTTTATTTTTATTTTAAAAGGGTTGGTTATCAATGTTTAATGATCACAGTCAATTTCTGAAAAAGGAAAAGAAAAAGAAGGTGGATATGTTATAGAAATTATTACATTGCTGTAGATTTTGGTTTATTGATACTAATTTAAGGTCAATTTTGTTATATGTATATTTCTATTCTTGCTTAAGGTATTAATGTTTATGCAGCTCATTTAAAAGTGTAACGTATAGTTAAGAAATACAGATTAGGGGCGGGAGAGATGGCTCAGCGGTTAAGAGCACTCCCTGCTCTTCCAGAGAACCTGAGTTCAATTCCCAGCAACCATATGGTGGCTCACAACCATCTGTAATGAGATCTGATGCCCTCTTCTCGCATGTGGGCGTATATGCAGGCAGAATGTTGAGTATATAATAAATAAATAAATAAATAAATAAATAAATAAATCTTTAAAAAAAGAAAGAAATACAGATTAATAGATAGTCATCTATAATGTAGTCATGTTAGGTTTTCTAGATGTACAGAGATATATTTCAGATAGATAAGGAATCTTCAAACTGTTCAAAGACCTACAGAATATAGTATTTTAAATGTTTTGTTAATTTAGGACTTTTCATTACAATGAGACATATCTCCTGGTAACACCAATCCACTTCAAGAGGATGATGGGCATCAAAGAGGCTCCTTATGGAGTTTGTTAGCCATTTGGGCAATAAATTGCTCTTGCCTGGACTGCTTGATGTTATGCTGTATGAACTGGACATGCAGGACCCTTAGAAAAGTAACTGCTAAATTTTCCAAAAGACAGAATGGTCCTTCAGGGTTCCATCTTCACAGAAGAAACTGCCAGATATTCTACAGGAAACAGAAGGAAGCAACTGACAAACTTTGCCAGTACAGAGCAAAACAAATTTCCTGCTTCACTGAAAGTCTGTCAGATATTATGGGCCTGTGTGCTGAAGATGGATGCCCCTACATTACAGAAGAACTTTGGGTGACTATACTGGCAGTGGGATGTCAATTCTATAGTTTTGGAAGTTGTTTGCAATGTACTTTCTGTTTCCTTAGGTATTATATTATATCCTTCTGGGGTCTTTGAAAAGTTGAAGACAGATAGTTATCGCTCTTCTTAGTTATGATAAAAGATAAATTAGATATGAAACTTTAGATTCAAAAAGAAATATTGTAACTGTAATTCTTCCTTGATACCTGTTTTGTTATATATAATTTTACTATGTTAAAGTTAAAACCTTCCTTATTTAAACAAAAAGGGAGATTTTGTGGGATATCCTTCTGTATTGTTGTTTCTATTGGGTAATGAATAAAGCTGTTTTGGCCAACAGCTTAGCAGAGTAAAATCAGACAAGAAATCCAAACAGAGAGAGAGAGAGAGAGAGAGAGAGAGAGAGAGAGAGAGAGAGAGAGAGAAGGCAGAATCAGAGAGATGTCATGTAGCTGCCAAAGGAGGAAGACATCGGGACCTTACCTGTAAACCATGAGCCTCGTGGTAAAATATTAAATCATAGCAATGACTTAATTTAAGATGTAAGACCTAGATAGGAATATGCCTAAGCTATTGGCCAAGCAGTGTTGTAATTAATACAGTTTCTGTGTGATTATTCGGATCTGGGCAGCAAGGAAATGAAAGAATGGTCTCTGTTTACATACAGTCATCTAATGGAGCATCAATTGAGGATGTGCCCTGAGAAATTGAATAAGGCAGAAAATTTTAAAATGATGGGCTGATTTTTTAGATGAATTATTGAATCTCCTAGATGGCTATTAAGGGTGACTCATTCAGGACTTCAGTGAAAAAAACAACAACAAATTGGGCAGAAATAAATGAAAATCTGTGGGTTGTAGGGAAAAGCAGGCCTGTGTAGTTTCAGGTGGCAGCCAAATGCTGAAACAGAGACAGGAATTTCCAGGGACATTATCACAATTAAAAAGATAACCCTTGTTCTGCATTGGAGCAAGGTGCCCTATGGTTAAGAATCCATCCTTCTATGCCCTCAGTTACTGGAAGGATTAGGAAAAGTGATTCCTAGTCCCAGGAAGGAATTTTCTATAAAAATCTTAAGCAACTCTGTTCGAAGTATGGCAGGTCCCATCACAACTTAGAAGCCAAATTTGGTGGAATCATTGATGTTGTACTGAGGAGGACTAACTTAACATTAGTGCAGCCATGAAAGGCTGCAGCCTAGGAATACTGGTACTAGGCCTCATCCTTACATTGATCCCAAGTTCAGCAACGAGTCAGAATTGAGACAAACAAGTACCAGACATTCCAGAAAGTTAAAAATAACTTATATAACTTCCATATAGGTTTCAATTTCCCTGCAGCAGTGCCAGCACCAATCCCTGTTTGACAAGACTCCTGTTGCCTCTCACCTCCCCAATGAGGAGTTCCCCTACCCCCATCTCCCATACTTTAATCATTGAAAACCCTGCCACAGCTGAACTTGGGGCTCTCCCTGAACCAACTTCTGTTTCAGAATGGATGGAGAGTTTAAGCTTGTGCTTGCAATAAATAAAAGCTCATGACACTAATACTGCTTGAGCATTCTGAGTCATAGGATTGCAAATTTGTGACATTCTTCCTGCCTGTTGTATTTGCTTGAAATTTTTTAAAATTAATATGAATCTTTGTCTGTTTCCCTGGACATACACCCCATGGGTGCCTGGTCCTCACAGTAGTAAAAAGATGGTCTCAGAACCTCTAAACTTGAGATAATAATTATGATTTCCCCCTGTAAGTACTAGCAATTGAGCTCACATATATGAAAGATCAGCAAATGTCCTTTTCTACTGAGCCATCTCGCTTGCCCGATGTTGATTATTTATGATCAACATTTACATTGCTTGTTTTCATTTGTCCATTTGTACCTCTTTAAACATTCAGTTCCTTTTAGTAAGATCTTATTAATGTTACAGTTTAGACAGGCACTTCATGTTTCTCGAATATGAATGCAGAGCTGGAATAAATATATACTCTTTGTAGGAACTTCAGTAAGAAACCCCTGAGTTCTTTCTATCTTTTCTGTTTGTTTGATTTTTGCATGGGAGACAGGTTCTTATAATGTACTTCTGTCTGTGTTGGAACTGATTGAATAAATGGGGCCAGTATTCAACTCAGAGGCAAACATACCTGCCTTTGCCCTCTGAGTGCTAGGATTACAGACATGAGCCAGCACACCAGCTTGCCCATCATGTTTTTGTAGTAGGTAGTTGTTCATACAATTTCTCTGATGTGTAGTCAGTACTATTGATCTGTTTGCTTGTCTCTCTGAGTCTGTTAATAGGCATTTCTCTAACAAGGCAATATCCCATATAAAGGTGCAGAAATGACAGAGTTCACCCTCCTGTCCAGTTTCCTTCTAAAATGACTTGGTGGTTACATTAAAACTTCTGTGTCATGAAATATGCTGAGAAGCTCCAGAATTATATAACTATATTTTCAAAGAAGTATACATTTGCAAGGCTGTCACTTTCTTTTGTACACATGTATATTTTAGAATGCAGTGACCTATGATGATGTGTATGTTGACTTCACTTGGGAAGAGTGGTCTTTGCTGGATCCTTCCCAGAAGAGTCTCTACAGAGATGTGATGCTGGAGACCTACAGGAACCTCACTGCTATAGGTAAGACTATGAATTTTCCTTCACATTTTAAAATAAGGGGATGACTGTTTCTTGGTTATAGATGATCTTTTGTAATTATAATTGAGACTAAGGAAGGATGATGTGAATAAGTTGGGCATGGTTCTAAGGTTCACTGAAGATAACAACTTAAATTTTGCACATTTTCCAATAATACATCATTCATTTTATGTTACTATATTTTAGGCTGCAAATGGGAAGATCATAATTTTGAAGAACGTTGTCAAAGTTCTAGAAGACATGGAAGGTAATTTTCATATGCAAGCTAATATAAAAGAAACTAAGATTTCTGGACATTCTAAAAGAAAGCAACAGTGTAAATAAGGACAACTTAAAGTGCACTGATGATTATTAAATTCTCACAAAACCACATATCTTGATGTCATATAGGTGAATTTTGTTTGCAAATCATTATGTTAAGAAAGAAGAGAAGGAAACAGTTTCTTATAGATACCACCATTTCAATTATAGCCCCATGCGAGCTGTACTGTGGAACTGCCAATCCATTTAGTTTCATACCAGTCATAGTACAAAAGGCATGCACATTGAATAGGTGATACATATATGTCCCAAACCTTCTAATAAGCAAACAGTCTATAATAAAGCTCATGTTCCTCATAAACTTGTTGTGACTTTGCTATGTTTGGTGTGAGGAGGGGTAGTTAGAGTCAAGAGCCAAGGGGCAGTTTTTGTGCAGAAACCTTAATCCCTATACTATATGTCTATGAGGAACAGAAAGTCAAACTTCGTGAATGGAACACGGACACCTTTTATTTGTCATTCTTCCTTTAATAGGTATATCCTATGTCACGCCGGATACAAGCCATATAAACATAGGGATATCAAAAGAAGCAACATACCCCTCTCCCTCTCAGATCAATTAGAAGATATATATTAGTCCCCACTTTGAATGAACTTCTTCAGTAGGTTTCAAGTTTACAAGTAAATGTTTTTACTTCTTTGAAAATTCAGCAACAAACTCATACTGCAGAAAAGCCCTGTGAGTAATAAGAATGTTTAAATACTTGTTTGTCCTTGTTTACTCTGCAAATGTAGTATGACTCACATTATAGGAAAATTTATGAATGCAATATGTGTGGTAAAGCTCTGAATTTTTTCAGTTCTTTTCAAATATGTGAAAAATCTTAAATAGAAAAAAGATGTTATAAATGTGAACCATGTAATAAAGTCTCTTACCATCATAGGTATCTTCAAAGATGCAAAACATCCCTTAATGAAAGTGTATAATATGAATGTAATCACAGTGATAAAACCTTAAGATCTGGTTCCTATTTACTTAGACCAAATTGTAAAATTAATTCATACAATATATTCAATAGTGTAATGAATATGGTAAAGCTTTTACATGTGCCAATTATTGTTCCAGGAATGAAAGAAGCCATACTGGAGAGAAACCTTCTGAATATACTCAAAGTGTTGAAGCTTATTCTTATAATAATCAACTTCAAAGGCATGAAAGAATCCATACTGGAGAAAAACGCTATGAATGTGATCAGTGTGGTAAAACTTATGTATGCAACAGGAATCTTCTAAGGCATAAAATAACACATACTGGAGAAAAGCCCTATAAATGTAGTCATTGTGGTAAGGCCTTTTCACGTGACAGTAATCTCCAAATGCATAAAATAATACATACTGAAGAGAAACCATATGAATGTAATAAATGTGGTAAGGCCTTTTTACGTGACAGTATTCTCCAAGCACATAAAAGAATACATACTGGAGAGAAACCCTATGAATGTAATCAATGTGGCAAAGCTTTTTCATTTCACAGTTATCTCACAACACATAAAAGGATACATATGGGTGTGAAACCCTACGAATGTAATCAATGTGGTAAAGCCTTTGCACAGCACAGTCGTCTTCTAATGCATAGAAGAACACATACTGGAGAGAAACCCTTTGAATGTAACCAATGTGGTAAAGCTTTTGCATTTCACAGTTATCTCCGAATACATAAAAGAACACATACTGGAGAGAAACCCTATGAATGTAATCAATGTGGTAAAGCCTTTGCTCAACACAATCATCTTCTAATGCATAGACGAAAACATACTGGTGAGAAACCCTATGAATGTAATCAGTGTGGTAAGGCCTTTGCATGTCACAGTAGGCTTCAAACACATAAAAGAACACATACGGGAGAGAAACCCTATGAATGTAATCAATGTGGTAAGGCCTTTGCATTTCAAAGTTATCTCAAAACACATAAAAGAACACATACGGGTGAGAAACCCTATGGATGTAATCAGTGTGGTAAAACCTTTGCATTTCAAAGTTATCTCAAAACACATAAAAGAACACATACAGGCGAGAAACCCTATGGATGTAATCAATGTGGAAAATCCTTTACCACTCACAGTTACCTTCTAATGCATCAAAGAATACATACTGGAGAGAAACCTTATGAATGTAATCAATGTGGTAAAGCCTATGGATATAGCAGTGCTCTTCTAATGCATAAAAGAACACATACTGGAGAGAAACCCTACAAATGTAGTCAATGTGGTAAAGCCTTTGCACGTGACAGTAGTCTCCAAACACATGAAAGAACACATACCAGAGAGAAACTCTATGAATGTAATCAATGTGGTAAAGCCTTTGCATTTCACAAATATCTCAAAACACATAAGCAAACACATACAGGCAAGAAACCCTGATTGTTGATATAATCAACGTGGGAAAGCCTTTGCATATAACAGTTGATTCCACATATATAAAAAAACACACACTGAATTGAAACTCTATGAAAGTAATCATTGTGGTAAAGCCTTTGTATGTGATTTTTGTCTTTGAAACCATGAGGAAAAAAAATCAAACTGCAGAGAAACCCTACAAATGTAGTTAATGTGGTAAGGTTTTGCACTTCATAGTACTCTTTATACTACAATAAAACTTTTAGTGTGAAACCATTCTGTTAAAGCCTGTGCATATCACAGTAGTCATTGAGGACATGATAAAAACTCATACAGAAGAGAATCTAGCTATAAAGGATTTGGGAAGACCTTTAGCTAACACATTAAAGTTACACAAGGGAATTCTGAAGATAAAATCTGACAATATCAACAATCTGTTCAAGCAGTATATTATCATTTTGTTTGTACCTACAAACTTGTATGAACAGAGCCCTACAAACTTAAATGTTAAAGTAACCCTTTTAGATTTCATATATCTCTTCAATGACATGAAATAAGTAATTCAGTTGTAAAACTTTATGGATACTTGCTGTGGGATGGTGCTTTTGTACACTGTAAAGATTTGTCACTTGTATTTGTTTAATAAAATGCTGATTGGCCAGTAGCCAGGCAGGAAGAATGGGGTGGGGGTAACCAGGCTAAGAGAATTCTTGGAAGAGGAAAGTCAGAGTCAGTCACCAGCCAGATGCAGAGGAAGCAAGATGAGAATGCCTCACTGAGTAAAGGTACCAAACCACATGGCTAAGCATCAACAAAAATTATGTGTTAATTTAAGTTGTAAGAACTTTAGTAATAAGCCTGAGCTAATAGGCCAAACAGTTTATAGCTAATATAAGCCTCTGTGTGTTTCTTTGGGATGAATGGTTGCAGGATCAGGCCAGACAGAAACTTCTGTCTACAAATGGCACCCTATTGTTTGGAAAGAATATCCACTTGAAGCTTGAGAAAGCTTTCTTTTAAAAAATGTATTCTAGTCAGACAAGAATAGAGCCAAGTGCAGCTTCTTGGTAACCATCTTTTCTCTGGTAGACTCTGCTGGCAGCAAGCAGAAGCTCAGCTCCTTTAATTGAGGCTTCCTAACTTAATGTTAATGACAGAAACCACATGGCAGCTCTTTTAAGAGGTTCTGCTTCCAATCACTTAAAAGGTTTTTATGAGTAGCTGGTGGCATGCTTCTTGGTAATGCCAGGGACCTGCAGATTTAATGTTAACCATGCTGCTTCGTAGATTTAAGACTCATGCTCAGAAAAAGATAGAGATATGCAGTAAAAACAGATTCAGATAGAATAAAAACATCTAAATGTTTTACAGTATGTTTAAAAATATATGTAGGCTTGAGAGAAAAAGGGTAGAAAAAAATTTTAAGAGTATCTGGGCATGATGGTGCATGCCTTTAATCCCAAGATGTGGGAGGCAGAGGTAGATGAATCTTTGTGAGTTTGAGCCAGCCTGTTCTACAGAGTGAGTTCCAGGACAGACAAAGATAAACAATGAAAGCCTGTCTCAAAAAACCAAAAAGCAAATAATAAAATAAAAGAAATAGGGTAATAAAGAAAAGGCTATATGAAGATGAAAAATACACAGTCTGAATACTGTTATTGTATTGTCTTTGAATTGTTTGACTGCTGAGGAAAGAGGAACATATGCTAAAAGTCATTTGATTATAAATGCTGCTGGATTAACCCAACCTATATATTTTGAAAATGACTTCAAAATTTATGTCAAGATATGTTACTTTGTAGAAGAGGATTTACTTTTGTTTCCACAGGAAAAGAGAGGCTGTGGATTCATTTTTGGTTAAGAAAGATCATGTTTGATCAAGGAAGACCCCCTGAAAAATCTCCAGTGGAAATGAATGGCCCAGATGATCCAACATTTCAGTGCTCCTCTGCTGAAGTTTCCTCCAAGTTCTACATTCAGAAAATCTTTGAGACTGCTGGCTGAGATAATTTGATGTGGGCTGTCCTTCTCTATGTGTTTTTTAATTGGTTGATGAATAAATCTGCTTCGACCTATGGCAGGGTAGAGCAAAGCTAGGCGGTGGTGATGTACACTTTAATCTCAGCACTGGGGACCAGCCTCAGCAGAGAATGTGTCTCGAATCTGGGATCTGGAAGGTGAAGTGAGTACACAAATACAGGGTTCTGAACAGAGATCTAGAGAGAGAGTAGGTAGAGTCAAAGAGATGCCACGTAACTGCCAATGGAGGATGCCAGAACATTGCTGGTAGGCCATGGCCTCATGGTAATAATTAATACGTCTTTTATTTTAAATTTTACACAAGGAAGTTGATTCTTTTTTCTTGTCACAGATTAATCATTACATGGGCAAAGCAGTACACAAGAAATACAAAGCTGCCCACTCTTCCACTAACACAGGCATGCAGGAAAAATGAAGAATCAGGCCTGGAGAGATGGCTTAGCCTTTAAGAGCACTAATTGCTCTTCCTTCAGAGTTTCCAGAAACATGGTGGTATCTGGTGCCCTCCTCTGGTAAAGGGGCATACATGCAGATAGAGCACTCTTGTACATAAAATAAAAGCTTAAATCTCTTTTGTTGTTATTGTTGCTGTTTTCAGGACAGGGTTTCCCAGTGTAGCAGCTCTGGCTGTCTTGGAATTCATTCTGTAGACCTGGCTGGCCTCCAACTCACAGTGATCCGCCTGCCTCTGCCTACTGAGTGCTGGGATTAAAGGAATGCACCACCACACTCAGCCTACAAAAATCTTTTTTAAAAATTAAAGAATCAAACAAATCAGAGTGCACTGACCTGTCATTTCCACATAAAGTTCGGCATTTTCTGCAAATCACCAAGTCCTAAGAGAGTTCAGCGAATATGAAGACAGAGACAGGGCCCTGCGGGCTCCTTATGTGATGAGCAGAGAGTCTGATTGAACCACAATTTGCCAGAGTATGCTGCTTGAAAAATCATGATTATTGGAGGTTGAATAAAGCAATCTTTTTTAAAGAGAAGCTGTTACTCATTTATGTCTCTCTCTCTCTCTCTCTCTCTCTCTCTCTCTCTCCCTCTCTCTCTCTCTCTCTCTGTGTGTGTGTGTGTGTGTGTATCTGTCTGTCTGTATGTCTAAGTACAGGAGTATGCATTCCTAAACTGAGTTTAAAGTTCATAAAAGACATGAAAGAGGACACATCTAATAAGCAGAGAATCATATTTAACTGCAGTTTGCAAGAACATTTTATTAGCCCAAATGCTGCTGGAAAAAAAATCAAGAAAAAATTCTAATCCACAGGGGTGGGACTGAGGCTGATCCCCCTCTTTCCAGCTGCTGAGTGCTGGGATTACAGGAATGGAGCAGCACACCCAGTTTATGCAGTACTGAGAGGGTGGAACCCAGGGCTTCCCACTTCCCTCACAAATCAGATCCCCACTACTGCTGCCTTAGACCTTGACCCTGTCCTTAACCCTATCTCTAAACCATAATCCCTACGCCTAAGACACTGCCTTAAACCTCTTCTACTTCCTACCACTTGTACCTGCTTCCCTTTGGCTTATGATTCTCAATGTCCAAATTCCATGTGTGTTGCCTCACCTACTTGGCATCTCTTCTCCCCTCCAAGGCCTCTTCAAAGAGGTCTCTAAAGATGAAGGAGTCAGGGCATTGCGCTTGTCCAGCATTCATCCGCTGCTGGCTTGGTCTTCCAGTTACACACAAGTTAGATGTTTTCCTCCCTCACTGCCTCAGAAAGTATTCTATGAGCAAAAATAAAGTAATGAAACCAAACAAAAACAAAATGCACAGGCAGCAGCATGGGCCCTTCTTGGAAGTC